CCGGGATTTCAAAAGGTACGATGGAAGGTGGGATGAACGGAGCGAAGAGCAGGACATGCATTACGAGAAGATTCGGAAGGAACTCGCTGGTACCCGCTACGGCTGGAGTGCGCCAAATGGTAGCCAAGGAAACGAAGATTGGGATCCATACCCATGGCGATGCACACAACGGCTGACCAAGTCGACGTGTCGGAGAACTTGAGGGCTCCGACATTGCCAGACGAATTGCGATAAAGAACAAGTTGGACGCGACAGATATGGCTACGACCTGCCCAAGGAACATATAAGCCCAAACATGCGGAATCTGCAGTCTTTTTGCTATTTCACGATGCTCTGTGAGTAGATGAGTCGGGCCAAAGGAACAACAACATGCGCACACTCAAAGAAGAGGAACGCCGTCCAGGGTCCCGCAGTGAACAGGCACAGTTGTTCGCTCCACCACCAATTGTAAAGTCCCGTAGACACGACTGCCCAGGCCTGTTCAAAGAGCTTGGTATTGGTGAGCCAGTCGGAGGCCCGTTCAATTGTGGCTGAAGAAGGGGCAGGATGCCTCGATTTATAGTCGTCAAAACTCCACTAACACCCGTCAGCGAAGGAAGGGAACCAAGTCGGGTAGGCAGACCTTAATGAAACTGAACATATCTACCTTGCCGTTAGATGGGTGTGAGAGAATGAAGCAGTCTACGAACAATACCATGTGTGTGCAAATGACACAAGGCTCATGACAACTAAGCCATGATGAAGATTACTCTTCCATCTTTTCCATGATGCAGTGATGAAACCGAAGAGCGCAACGATTAACCCAGCGTAGGATGTGAGGATTCCAAAAGCCAAAAAATTCATAGTGAGAGCGAACGAGGGAAAAAATGCTCCGGGTGAGGCTCGAACTCACGACCTTAGGATTGCGTGGCGAACAACCCACTCATATCAAGTATATGAGACCTACGCTCTACCAACTGAGCCACCGAAGCAATAGCAGCGTGACAGTAGTGCCTCTGGGTCAATTGTAATCAGTCAAACTGGCCACCTGAGATGTACACAACTGTAAATACATGGTTCCGCTTCCTCCCTTTCAAGAGAAAACCTACAAAACCCCTTTGAGATGAGCGCAAAAGGAAAAATACACGTGATCATGGCCGAACAAAAAATGATGGGAATTGATTTAGAAACCAGCCAACGACCATTGCCTACATGTGACGTTATTATGTAATAAATATTCATTGCGTGCGGTCTCATCGTCCTCTCCCTGTTATTCCCCAACCCAACCCAATTACCAAACTAAAATTATTAATTACCATTACAGCGTTTGTGTATTGTAGAACGTGCTCGGAATAGGGTTTGTTTAGTGCAGTTAGTGTAGCATTGCTTATCGGTGTTATATATACATTGAAGTCATCCTCGTGCAATAACTGTGGCAAAAAAAAATCCACCAAGAATGAATCGAACCTGCACAAGCAGGGGGGAGACAGGCTCATAAACAGCGCTATAATCCACTAGACCAAGTAGACTCACATGGATCCGGTCCTAAAAGTAATATATAAAGTGTTAATTTCAGCCACGGATCCGGGGTTGATCACGAAGTCAAAAGCCGCCCAATGTACATTTTTCATGACATTGATCACCCCTTGGAATTGAAGTTTTTCATCTTAAAAGTTTTCTAAGGGAGAAAAAAAGAAACACCATACAGGACTCGAACCGAGACCCATCCAGACACGGGATTAAATAGAATCCGGCACCGGCCGCTACAGCCGTTTTCGGCTTAGTTGTCACGTGATCCGTTTTTGATTCCGCCCTTGCTCGTTGCCCAAAAGCAGGGCTCAACAAAGAGTGCACCATATCTCAGCAACCACATAAGCTAGTCACTTGCGGTTTGCTGCAAAACGTTTGTATATCTATTACGCCCGAACCTTTTTTAGCGATAACGATAATTTTTATTTTTCATGATTTTAAGTTTTACCCCTTTTACACGATTTTCTCGACAACGGCTGGATAGAATGGGCTGTAAATTGGGCAGAAATAAGTCTCAATGTGTCCCTCGGGACCTTTTTTTTATTTAGTAAATACGTTGCGTTTTGAGTTTTTTATTACTCAAACGTTTTCTTTGGTAATGGAAATCCATTGTACATAGTTTTCTCAATAACCACTGCGTGAAATACAACGAAACTTACGCAGAAAGCACTTGAGCAATATATCTCGGGACCTTTTTGTTTTCAAGTTAATCGGTTGCATTTTCGTTTTTTTATCATTTACACATTCCCCGCGGTTATACATGCTCATGCCAGCGGAAAAAGCAACCGATTGACTTGAAAAAAAGGGGATCCTAAGATATATTACTTAAGTGTGTTTGGCATAAGTTTAATCGTATTCCACGCAGTGGTTATTGAGAAAACTATGTACAACGGATTTCCATTACCAAAGAAAGCATTTGAGTAATAAAACACTCAAAACGCAACGTATTTACTAAAGAAAAAAAAGTTCCCGAGGGACACATTGAGACTTATTTCTGCCCAATTTACAGCCCATTCTATCCAGCCGTTGTCGAGAAAATCGTGTAAAAGGGGTAAAACCTAAAATCATGAAAAATAAAAATTATCGTTATCGCTAAAAAAGGTCCGGGCGTAATAGATATACAAACGTTTTGCAGCAAACCGCAAGTGACTAGCTTATGTGGTTGCTGAGACATGGTGCACTCTTTGTTGAGCCCTGCTTTTGGGCAACGAGCAAGGGCGGAATCAAAACGGATCACGTGACAACCAAGCCGAAAACGGCTGTAAGCCAAACTGCCATCGCTAGGGGCCTCAACCAAACCATATATATGTACAGTTAAACTGGCCTCACAATTCCCTCGCCCCCCTTCATCCACTATTTTTTTCTTACTGCATACAACTTTCTGTTCCCTTCCGTTACATGCCCCACAGTTATGAAGGCGCCCGGGCCCCTGCCCGTGCGTCTTCACGCTTGCATCCTATTCATTTTCTTCATTGTAATTGGCGGATTCAAAAAAAATATCATCATTTTCATATTTGTGTAAATTCATCAAACACGTGATTTTTTGCGCTCATCTCAGAGGGGTTTTGTAGGTTCACTCCTTTCAAGGGCCACACGGACATCACAAAACCCGAGGAACACCCGAACACACCAACAGAATACCCATCATATTGTAGAGCCATTCCCCCCATGTACGCTACGGTGTTAGGACGGGATAGCTGCACTACCACGTCATCACGAGGCCGCGGGGTAATAAGGTTACGCGACATGGAGTCGAAGACTTCACCAGGCACCATCAGGGATGGATGACCATGGGCGTGCGCGGTTCCGCATGGGGTGTGCAAAGCTCTACAGCGCGTAATTCCTTGGCGTTCATGCCTGGTGCGAGCCCGAGTTCGAAGACCTTCGGTCCGGAATGCTTTAAGTGGTTGGTGGCTACGATTACCCGGGCGTTATAGTTCCTGCCGAGAGTGCAGCTTCTATCTAAGTATTTGACAAGGCCAAAAGGACATCTTGCTCTACCCTAGAAATTACGTCAAGTAGCCTATCGCGAGGTCTTTTTTCTTTTCCACAAAGTTTCTGCGTATGTAGGCTCACGCACAATTTAGCCGGCCGTGGCGGTCCCCTCGTTTCTCACTGTCGGACTCATACGCGATAACCTCACAAGGGGCCGATGATTTCATCTTAGAGGAAAATCTCACCATGGGGTTCACGCGATCCCGAATCACGAATGGATCTCTCGAATGGTTTGCTGACACAAGGTCTTCGGAACCATTGACGTGCGCTCGAAAGTCTACTCTATGGGCACGGGAAACAGGCGCCCCTACCGGATCCATAGCCCATGCCGTATGACTATGTCGTCTTTCGCGCGTCTGAGGTTCAACATCTCGCAGCTGACACGGAGCCTCGGCCTCAGCCACGGAATATCGTGAATGATCCCGCAGTCCTGGGTGTCAGTCTTATTCCCTTTTTCTTTTTCCATCTCATGATGAAATATTCACGGATGTAATATTGTCCGAGAGCACAAAAACCCATGTGGAGCTTTCCGTTGCCTTCCTTCTGAGCCATCTCTATCCGTCAACTGCTTTGATGATCGTAAAGCTAACATGCTCTCGATCACAGGTTCCTAACGCACCATCCAAGGCCCCAGCAACTAGTGAAGTTCATATTCCAATTGACCCCCCATGTTCCTTCAGTGTCAATCTGCGCCTTTCAGGCCGCTAAAGAACCCACGCGCGTTATCGCTGCCTTCACAATCTTTCCTTACCTGGTTGTTGTCACTCATGAGACTTACGCATGTCTTTCTCCCAGCCACCTCAAAACGGGCCATCTTCTGTTAAAAGCGAGGTTAAGTGACTTTCCTCTGCTCTCCCATGATGGCATTGGTTTGCCCACATGGGGGTACTGTAGTCTTTCTGCTGAGCATTCCTCAACCCGATTATTCGTTTACGACATTGCTGACCTCAAAATTACACCGCCTAAGCTCCACCGGTCACTGTTTATCAGCCGGCCACCAATGTCCCTCAGCCATCGCCCCAATCAGCGACTCAACCAGCGCTTCAACCAGTCCCCAGTCTGTCCCCTCCCTGTTTCTAGCTCACGATTTCCTCTCGATAACTGGCGATCCCAGCCGGGGAAAACTGTTAACAACCTCGTAGCAGAGTATGTACAATGTTTATAGGTAAAGGGCAGAGTGGCGCAGAATGAATGTCAAACATTCAATAAACATGAAACGAGGGGATAATAAAGGAGTGGTATGAGGCGGTACTAACGAGCCCGGGCGCCGTATGATTTGTTGTTTTGCTACTATACGATGGCCAAAGTCCGTGAGAGGAGATGAGTTTCTCGTTTCAGTGATGGAACACGCAAAAGTTCGAATGGCTGGCTCACACCTCGCTGTGACGCGTTGAACCTTGCGACCATGAATTTGGCGGCGTCGGGAAATCCACGATAAGTAGTTGCTTATTGGGTACACATCGATTACTTTGTCATGACATCAATTGTCGCTCTTAGGCCAGATGTGTTTGGGGCGAACTGCAATGCAATCGCTTTACACTGGTGGTGCGCAGCATGCTGAGCGCACTGGCGTGCGGGCGAAGGAGTGAAGCTATTGGGAAAGTTGCCGAACAGGGATTAGGAGACGCACTTCTACCTACCCTTATGTTTTCCAGAGCCGGGTAAGCGCTGAGTGGAGGCGCCTTGTACTGAAGAGTATGGGACCAATAATACGCCTGGCGGAAGCCGTGACAGAGGTCGATATTATTCAGGGTCCACGGCTGATATCTCAAATATTGATCATTTTTTTTGTTTCCGCCCCAAACCTCTTCTGGGGACTCAACATCATGAACGAGGACGAAGAGCTCTGGGGTGATCCGGGGCCGTCGGACCATAGAGGATCGATGGTTTCCATGGTCCACCCTAAAACAACCAACAACACCTCTGTCCACCATGACGAGGCAGACTCGGAAGATGGGGGGAGCGAGGGTTCCGTCCATCCTTATGAATCTGAAACCGATGAAGCGAGGTTTTTCATCGTTCGCGACGGGAGGAGGTACAATGATACCAGTCAACTGTATCCTCTCCCAGCAGGTGAGTTAGTTATGCGATGACAATAGAAGAACTGGGTGTTCTCACTGGCAATGTTGTTTATGGTAGATGAGGAGGAATGGGACAGACTGTGGGTTCATTTTACTTTGCATGATGCGGCGCCCCTCATTCCCAAATCGCGATCTCCTAGAGCGGACCTCCACAAGATCCACAAGATCTGTTTAGGTAGCCTCTACCAAGCCTCGACAACTGTTGAAAACCTGCTGGCAGATGAAGAAGGGGAGGAGAAACGTATCCTAGATTGTGGTGCGTCCGCCGCTTTATTATATATCTGTTACTTCCGGAGCAATGCTGAGAAACCCTCAGGATGTGGAGGGGGAGAATGGTTAGTGCATATACCAATGATAGCCGGAAGTTCTATGCTGATCAATGAGTTCATGAAGGGTGATTGAAATGGGGTTGGTATGTAGCACGGCTGCGTCATCCACAATGACTCAATACCGAACCACATGATGGAACTGTACCTAGAAATTCCCTCACGCAAAGGTTAACGTTGTTCATCTTTTCACGATTACATCTTCGACTGACCTATGGTGTCCATGTGTGGCACACCAGGTTGTTGGGGTCGATCTTGCACCTGGATCCATCAGGTAAGCCTTGCCAGGACCTGAGAGTAAACATTCAAAGTTCACATGAACCCAGGGATCAAATGCCCACAAATTGCCGGTTCGCGTCGATGATATTTCTGGCTCGGTTGTGACGTTGACAAGTTCTGAGGTGCTGAACTCAACAGGTTCGAATTTGACGACGTCAATAAACCATTAAATCACTTGTATGGTAGGTTCTTCATTTTGGTTTGTTGGGTATGCGCCGGATGGCCACTGACTTGTTTTGGCGCTGTAGGTAAATTTGATGTTGTGCATGCTAAGTCATGTTTTCTGGGGGTGTGTTAGCCGTGACCTTTATTGCCGACTGCTCTGTTATAAAATAATATGTTTCATGGATAGATCGCCAATTACCAGCACTTCCTGAACGAAATGGCCCAATGCCTGAAGCCAGGTATGTTTGGAGTGAACTCGCAGCAGTAGAAAACTTAGTGGTGCGCAATTTTAGGGGGTATAGTACTCATAGTGGAAAGTCCATTGCGATTGATGGTACCGGCAATGGCATCAGCAAACAGTGTATTCGTCGGAAATTGGCTAGCACGGATGTTTGAGGGTAAATTTCCTGGCCTTATTTGCCCTCAGCCGCCTCTGACATGTTTGGTTCAGTGGTAGAAAACTCGATCCAAGGCAATGGATTGGATACCATAGCGATTGACAGCCTGCAAACGTTGATGGAAGGGCATCCCCAACTCGAAAATGAGGAGTCCTTTGTTGTCAACATCCCGGTAGGTCCATGGACTATGGCAGAAACTCAATATCTAGGGGAAGCCAGTGAGTTCATCGGGGGACTAATGCAAGAAAATGTTGTGGTAAGTTCAGTGAATCTTGGAACTCCATTCTTTCTAATGTGGGTGTTTCCATGCATCTCAGCGGCTGGTCCAGGCGCTGAGGAACGTCCTTCTCCAAGCCGGACATCATCCACGATTGGCAGATGAATGGTTGACATCAGTTACACAAGGTGAGTCACTATAACGCGTGGGTTGTCAGGAACAAAAGAGCAGCTGACTATCCTGGCCAAGCGATCACATCTCCTTCAGCAAGGCTCATCTCAACCTGGAAATACTTTTGTGCAACCCGCGTGGCGGATATGGATGTGCACTTGGATGCAGGGGCAGAGGAGGGAGAAGAGGAGGGAGAAGAGGACGAAGAGGAGGATGAAGAGGATGAAGAGGGAGAAGAGGATGAAGATGAAGAGGACGAAGAGGGAGAAGGGGACGAAGAGGAAGAGGAGATGTTGCGAAGGGGCCAATGTCTAGAGTGGGTTCGACGTCACTCGACTTCTGGAATCCCGAACAGACCGTGACCAGTGGCGTGATAGCCACTCAACGAACACAGCCTCGCCCCGCGCATACACGCATCCTCTTCCTACCCTCCCATCGAAGCATGCAGCGCTCACATCGGAGTCATATGTGTAACTCCCACATCAACAGAGTCCCGGACTCGGAGCACCATGCTATCATGGGCGGGGTTGTACGTATTGAGATCTAGTTGAGACGGCCTGGGGCACATCCAAGAACCCGCCTTCCGGGAAAGATGTCAAGCTCAACCCTAGATCCGCCATGAGCTGCGTCATTTGTTCGATTTGTACCGCAATCGTTCTTTTTGTCTTGGACGAAACTAGCAACGCAGGAGTGGGAAAGCATCCCGGATGATATTGTTTGAGCATGGCAGCAATTAGACGTTCCGCTTCTACCTTCTCTTCTTGCCTGGCTGCAATGTATCGCTTACTCATAACAATCAGAATTACGAAATAGGACGAAAATGGGACGAATACGGTGGCCTTTCTTGCTGATGTGCCAATGGCGCTCGTGCCACTGAGTATGCATCGCGACGGTTGGTGCAGGTAGAATCAACCTCGCCGACGCTACTCAATACTTTCCAGGGATGTGAGCCTCTCCTGATTGGGCCGGAATAATGTTTGGGTGCTCCGACCATATAGCCTGACGTCTCTAATGAAGAGCTAAAGGTGGTTGTAAGAAAGGCACCCTAAAGACTCCAACGATCGATGGGAGAGGTAGGGGACGGACAAATGGGCAGCAAGAGCCGCGAATATGTAGCCACACAGTTGTACTAATAGTTAAGCAGAGTGTCCGAGTGGCGCACGACAAGTTACGATGCTGAACACCAGGATCAAGGGCAGACAATCACGCCGCCGTCGCTAATCGCAAGCCGCTAGTGATGAATGCTTTCTTGTGCTCGAGGCTACCTCGGGTTCTGTTGGTGATTACCGACTAGACACGCGATTGCTTGTGTGTCCTCCGAACACCTCTGGTTATGTCTTCTGCTGCTCTCTCTGACCTCGAATCTGCCACCAAGGCTGTTGATGATATTCTTAATGACAACCTTCCACGGCGCTTTAACAATATGTGATGCATGCAGCTTCGGTTCACAGCGGCCATGAGGTGTTAATGGGGTTCTTGCCCAGTCGATTCGTCTTACTTCGCTTTTTCATCTGATGGGGAAAGGTAACTTGAACGTGTTACAATATTATGTGGCGCATTGCCGATATTTCGGTTGGGTTGGGGTGTCACTGTGTTTGACATGTGAACATTTGAGCGCCTAATAATTACTGAATGTCTCAGGGCTTGAAGTATGACGAGTTTAGTCGGGATTGACAACTATTTCTGATGAACGCAGCGTCGGGAAGTTTGGAGGCAGCAAGGGCAGGAGGAGCGGGAACACGCTATGCAGTAGGTCTCGAATGCGATGTGATTGCCGCAGATGTGACGTTACTATTGAAGCTAACAAACGCCTTGAATCGGTTACGTGAAGTGCCTGTATTCGGACCCGCTTTTGACGTATGCATCAACTATAATCATTGCATAACCATCATGTCCCAGTGCTAGCTAGCTAACTGTGGTACGACAAACTACTTGTTAAGGTTCTGCTGGACGATACCCTTATCTTGCTGAGCATTGCCGCTAGCTTGCTGCTGCTTGTCGCCTTTGATGGCACCCGTGACGGAATCCAATTTCCCTTCGGCACGATCAGCGATTCCTTCACCGTAGCCTTTAGCTTTGGCGGCGGTGATCTCAGCTGGAGAATGAAAATCGATAGAGAAAGGTAAGAAGTTAGTTGCGTGATTCGAGTAGGTAGGGCAAGAGACCCGCCTTCGCCTGCAACATGCTCCTGCTTTCCAGAGTCGACCCATGCTTGAGAACCAGTGAGGTTTCCAACCTATAAAGGAGTAAATCAAGAAATTATGAGTGTCAAGATGAATACAAAGGCATAAGAACAACGTACGGTCTCGACGACGGTGCCCTTGACGGAGTGATACTGTCCGGTAGTCTTCTTGGGGCCTTGGTTGTTGTTACCGTTGTTATCGGTGGACGACATGTTGATTAACGACAGGTGAAACGTTTACTGAAGATCAGTGATTATGAAGGTGGTGGAGAGGAGAAAGTGGGGGAGTTGGTGGAGGAGAAAACGGGGGTATTTATACGCTCAAATGTGAGATGGGGCAATATGACGTCGATTCACGCGTTGCGCCGCGTCGCTTGGTTAATGTGGCGCTCCGCATCATCACGTCAGATGTGCGGTTGGAGTCCAACGTCATTACACCACCTTACTCTATCCGAAACAGGGTAGTTTCATTCACAACTTGAGCTCAAGCTGTCCCCATTGCCAGGGAAGAAGACGAGCCAGCCCAACTACCCCTTCAACGGGATCATCACTCTGACCAGTACCAGAAATTTACGCACACTAGCATCCGACATGTATAAAGAGCATACTGCTTTTGGCCAAGCAGCATCGAGGCCTCACAACGTAAAAATTCTGGAGCTGATGACGTCGACATTGTTTCACTCAGCAACTGTATTCGGAAAGAATAGTAGAGCTCATTATCAGCATGAACAATCACTGAGAGAAGTGCATCATTCGAGCTGGAGTCGGGAACGCCATTGTGCACGACTGGTCAAGCGGCCTTCCTGGCTGGACTGATGAAGACACTCGAAGCAATTCGCAATGAGCACAGGTCATATGGCGGGTCATAGTCCGCGGCGCTGTACATTGGGCACAGAAATGGCCAGGCGGCTTGTCAAGCCCCATATTAGGAAGTAACATGACTGCCCTGTGTGGAGCAAACTCCCGGAACGGAGTTAACGGACATAACATCGGGTCGTAGTTGCACGATAACCAGCGCAGTGCGCAGTGTCTTTCCTCATCGCAGAGGGAGACTCCTTCGACATCCCATCAGTCTCCTGTTCCTCACGCTATCCTCAAGATGAAAGGAATCACCAAGGCCTTTATGCGGTAAGCCCAAGCCTGAGGCGGAAGACGAAAGCTGAGAAGCTTATCTGACCCTGGTCATGTATCGGTGCCGGCTTTGTCGTTTAGGACACCCCATATGGTGTCCGCGAAAGTTGGAATGGCTAAAAGTAAGTGCTCCTACCCTCGTTGGCATTTTCGACGTTGAAACCCTACCATGAATGAACTGGCGCTCAATTCTTATCTGTATCACCTTGCGTCCATCTTACGTGCCTACTCTATTGTTTTAAGAATCGAATGATCCCGAGTTCGATGACCTTCAACGTCGATTTGTCTCTCTCGAACAGGCCCTAGAAAAATCGCTCAAGGACACTAAGACCTTTATCGATGGTGTTCAAAGTAAGTGCTACACATCCTTACTCTGGCTATTTCGTTAAAACCCCACTCCGTACTCTCTTCTTGCATATTCGCAATCCATCCCTTTCCGTCGCCCAACCGAATCCATTCAGCCCTCTTCTCCGCAACCGAAAACTGGGCGATCCGCTTTACCAACATCTTTTCCCCATGGCTGGAGAATTCGACATCATAGGGAAGTTCCCCGATGCAGCTCACACATCCCAAAACGTGGCTGGCTTTCAGTCTGCAATGCAAGAGCTAAAGACGGCTATTACCCCCGAGTTGGAATTGATTCAGAGCAGGATTCTGGGTCCATGCAAGGAGTTGCAAGGGATTATGAAGACCATTCGGAAAAATATCACGAAGAGAGATCATAAGGTGCGTTTGGAACTACTATTCGAGGGAAGGTCACTTGACATTCGTTGGTTTGGTTTAGCTGATAGATTATGACCGATTCAATAATTCGTTAACGAAATTAAGGGATAAGAAGGAGAAAACTTTGAACGATGAAAAGAATCTCTTCAAGGTGCATGAGTGACTCTTTCCATTTATAGGTCCCAGCTGTTATCCTAATGCCCCGTCCTTCACGCGCACCCACCATGTCTTAAAGCTCGAGCAAGATTTCGAACAGGCAAGCGCTGACTACGAATTGTATAACACGAACATGAAGACAGATCTTCCCAACTTTTTGGTCCTCGCGACGCAATTTATCGACCCTCTCTTCCATTCGTTTTTCTACATGCAGTGAGCCCTTGACCTCGATCGCCTGGTTTGATTCCCTCCCATCCATTCTTACCTTCTTATTCTTTGATAGACTTAACATCTTCTACCTCATGCTGGAAAAGATACAAGAGTTTGCGAACGGCAAATATGAAACGACTGGAACCATCGAGGATATCACCGAGAATTATGAAGCTCGCCGAGGTGATGCAAGGGAGACGATCGAGGGTATGAATATCAATAAGCGGATGATATCAACAGGTGAACCGACTTCATGGTTCCTTCGCATGAATTCTCTGCTCACTTTCCCCTTCACTAGCTAAACTGGTGCATACTCGCCGCCAAGATTCGGGTCTGACAGGATCTACATCACTTAATCGTAGTGCTTCATCGGCGACGACATCATCAAGCGTCTCACGATCTGTGTCTGGAAAACTGCCGCCACCCGCTCCGTCCTCGTCCTTCACCAAGAAACCACCCCCTCCTCCCCCAAATACCTCCGCCAAGCCTTCCTTCACTAAACCTCCTTCCGCTAACAGCGCCTCAGCTATCAACAGATCCGTCTCATCTGCATCAACTTCAATTCCAACCACCGCTCCGCCCCCTTATACGCCTGCATCTTCCACCAGCACCAACGTTTCCTCGATAGCAGGCACTAAACGACCACCTCCACCCATCCCAGCGAACAAACCCAAAGCGCCACCACCTCAATCACAACCCGTTTATGTGATTGCACTGTACGATTTTGAGGCTCAGGCAGATGGGGACTTGAGTTTTAAAGTTGGGGATCATATTGAGATTGTGAAGAGGTCGGACAGTGCGGAGGATTGGTGGACGGGGAAAGTTAATGGTGTTCAGGGTGTTTTCCCTGGTGAGTTCAGATTTTTCACAATTCTACCCTCGGACCCATTCCTCGTGCGGAGATTTGTGACTGATTAGTTTGGGGGGGATTTGTCTTTTCGTTCGTTCTGAACGCTTAGGTAACTATGTTCAAGATGCGTAGGGCGCGGCTGAAGCGAAGTTGGCGTGGTGCGTTCTGCAGTGAATGGACTTCGATTACATTCGAGCCTGGACTTTTCTTATTCTTATTACCCCATTCTGTTTTTTCTTGGGCCCTCACTCTGACTTGCAGCCACGGGCTAAGCGCTGATTCTGTCAATAGCTTGATGTTGTGAGTGTCCATGGGTGTGAAACTGCAGGGAGGGGGGGACAGGTCGCC